CACTGGACTTCAAGGGATGTGGGTGTATTACACCCATAATTTGCCGAACATTTATTATCGATTTTGATACGAGGGTAGCGCAAGCGTGAGTAGGATTTCAAGTAGAAGTTATTATGAAGATGAGTGCCTAAAACCACGAGACTTCAAAAGTATACAGCCAAAAGGCAAGTTAAGTGGAAGAAGCGCTCCGAAAGCCTTTACGCTGATGTTTCCGCTGGCACATCACTTTATTCACGCGAAGCTTTTGGCTGAAACACATTATTGCAGCTCAGTTGGATTACAGCTAGATTGCGGTGACTGCTGAATTTGCTCGAAAGAATGTATTTTATTCAAGCAAATTTAATTAGCAACCTAGGCTCTTATTAGTGTCACATAAAAATATTAGCTCACAAGCTGGAGATGTCCCACTCAAGTATGTTGTTCTCCTAGTGAGATAACATACATCTGCGCAAACATGGAATGAACATCGACAGCCACTGTGAAGAAAACCAATTCAGAAATCGTGCGCCACCATGTGGCGCACGCGGCCACACGGAGCAGGAAAGTCGTGCGCCGCCATGTGGCGCACACGGTACGCAATGTGTTAAAGGCTCGCAGAATTGTGCCGCTTTACTGGATCTCTCGCAAAAATTCAATTAGTCATTCCTAAATGTTTTCAGGTAGGCTACGAAGAGTGCACATTAGGCCGATGTCAGACTTTGCGAATCGAGCGATTCGCTAGCGTCCGCGGTCGCGTTGCGGTACCAGCCAATGAGTGATTCGCTGGCCGCGACGCGACCGCAGACGCTAGCGAATCGCTCGATTTACGTAGTCTGACCTTAAGTAAGTTGAATTACCCGCCTTGGTTGTCGAACCCTGAGCCTAAACTTCAGTTGCTTCCTTTTAATGAAAGATTGTAATTGTAATTGTTTATTGCACACGTTGAAAGCCGTGCTAAACAACGGGAAGCGCAAAACCCACTAGTAACAAACAAACAAACAAGTTCCTAGGAACATCTATAATCACACTAAGAACTTCCACATAAGTAAAGGAAAAAATAAGAAAAAAACAAAGAGCATAACAAATATCACTGGGATGTAAGATACATTCCTAAGATTTTCTCGAATGATTTTAGTTTGTCCAATACCTAATCTATGCAGCCAAGTTATTGGGCTTAAACCGAATGACCATAAAAAATCTTAAGAGCGTTATCAAATAAAGTTCCCTCCTTCTTAGCGATAAGGTTTAAAATTAAGAGTAGCATTCCGAGTTACTCCAGAAGGGATCTGGTCATATTTGAAACCGATTACATTTTGTGCGGATTAAATGTGACAGTCCCATATTCCAGTAGGGGTCTGACATAGGTTGCGTAAGCTCTGAGGAGCACAAGAGAGTCCTTAGTTGTCAAAGCTCTGAACAGGTTGAATGTGAGAGCTGTTGCTTTGGAGGCTATCCTAGAACAGTGTTCGTCGAAGCTCAGATCGCTACGGATGAGGAAACCCAAGGTCTCTAATTTCATTCACCACCTCTAACTGTACATCACCGATTGAATATGAGGGATCAACAACAACTTTACCTATATGTTATACAACACAAAGAGGCACCAAAATTTATTTCAAAAGAGTCCCAAAAGTTCGCAAAATATTCAAAAAACTCCAAAATTCCAAAAAACACGAAAAGTTTCAAAAGAACTCCTTTGAAATCTTCTGCTATATTTCGGTGTTTAACACCTTCTTCAGGCCTGAAATACATTGATTTCACTGGTATCACTGGTAAAAACAATATGATTTCCCGAACCCATATATGTACCTACATACATGTGTATGCCAAAAAGGGAAACACAAATAAGTAAATATATGGGGTTGGGA